CATTTAAAACACTAATAATTTAATAATATTGCTAAATATAATCTTTAGCAAGTCTCAAAATGAATTTTTTTCTCGTAATCTACATTATAATGTTGTAATGTGTAAATTTACGTGTAGGATTTAAAATGATTCATTTTTATTTTTTGATTTCATTTGATTTTTTTTAAAATCTGTAAATAAAACAAAGATTGGAGCACATGTACCAGAAAATACAATTTCTCTTTTAACATTTTAATTCAATGTATTACATGCACTTGGCTTGTAATTATTTGTGAAATTTACCTGCAAAATATGAGTGAAAAAAGTTTTAAAGTAAACCATAAAACTTTTTTTTCAGTGTATTTGTATTTTGTGGAATTGTGGCCTTCATTGGTGTTTTATACTGTACCTTGTGTTTGTTATGGATAAGCTTGTTAAATGTCACTGGAAGGAAACCCAAATTAGATCATTAATTATTTGTTAGTGTCAAATATGAGATAGGATCTACAGTACAAGAATATGAAATGCAGTAGGCTACACTTTATTGCTTTACTTTGTGTGTTGGTAGGGAAGGTAAAAAGGGGTATTCATCCAAGAGGAAAGGCCTGTGTGAGTGGGCATCCTTCAAAGAGTGTGTACGGGCTTTTGTGTATGTATGTTGTTGGATGAGAGAGAGAGTGTAACAGACATGTAGCAGGCAACCCCAGCGGTAATGTGAGCCTCTGGCCTGAGTGGATCGAATGTCCGTTAAAGATCACAGGTTCCATTGTCTTGTGGTATACACTCTACAGCTCCACACACTCCTCCTCTGCTCCTCTCTCCCGCCTCCCTTCTTCATGCTCTTTAATTATTCTAGCATCATCCCTCTCCTCAGGTCACTCATTTTCCAGTGGCTGCCCTTCCTTTTATAGTTATCCCAGCTGCTAAAATTTCACTTACTAACATTATGACTCTGTCCTTAAAATAGATATTACAGTGTTTTACAATCTTTTTTTTCTATCTCAGATACCACCATAACCCCTTCAGTAAGTCTCAAATACCCCTTCATCGATACCAAAAATGAATTCCTATGAACCTATATGAATCTAAATGAAAGTAAAAGCCATAATTTGTACTAATGTTAATGAGAAGATCTTCAGAGGACTTTTATGGCAGAGAAGTGTAGGGAAAGTTTTATGAAAAACACACATTATTTTTATTTTTTAAATGATATCATATGTAAGTAAATATATTTTTACTATGTTATATTATTTGTGATAAACTGGCCATCCGTTCGAGGTGTATTCCTGTCTTCAGCCTGATAGACTGGAATAGGCCCCATCCTTTATATTATATTATATAAGTAGTACTTTAAGTTTTATAGGCTATGTTTAACAAAGCTAAATCAAAATATTTTCAAGTACATCATAGAAATTACCCCACACTGTAAAAAAAATAAATAAAATAAAATTACTAATTGAGTAAAGTGTTACTTGCTGTTTCTTTGTAATTATTTGTGAAATTTACTAGTGATTTCTGAGTGAAATCCTACACTTTTTTTAGTGCATGAGAAAGTACACATATTGTGACAGAATGAAAACTAAATCAGTAAGTGTTGTATATAAGTGATGTTCTTCTCTCTGTACAGTTACAAATATGGAGGGTGCCATTAAAACAGTTGTTATGCAGTTCCTGTCTTCAGCACGAGGAAAAGAGAGCCTGGGTGGGAAGAGCTTCCAAAAGTTAGTCCAGAGTCAGCTGGGAAGCATCTTGAGCGTAAGCAGAGTTCCTACATATATCCGGATGTTTTTAACAAATCTCTAATTTTACTCCATTTAGTTGGCACATAACATGTCCGTGGATTACAAGATAAAGATTTTAGGTTCAGTGTATACATGTAGAAGTGAATATGTTTGTTAAATCATTGTTTAATCCCCTTTTGCCTTCATTAGTTTATTTTAGGGGGTCCTGTCATGTGACAATTAAATTAAAATTAAAAGTACAAATATTTCATAATCTCTCAATTAATATGAGGTCATAAGTGCTGCATTCATGATAATTATAAAAGAATTAGCTAAATTAATTTTAAAGTAGTTTTAGATGAAGTATAGCATGTCGGAACAAAAAAATGTCAAGACTGCACTTCATTGGTTGTCTATATTCCAAGAACTAAGCTTGATTTGGCAAATGCTAAATAGTTGAGTATTTCACACTCTCTCGGTCTCTCTCAGGACACTGACAGTTCTTCAGCAGTGAAGGACATGATGAAAGGCCTGGATGACAACCAGGACGGGAAAGTCAGTTTCCAGGAGTACCTGACGCTGGTGGGCTACCTGGCCAACTCACTGAGTGAGCAGAAAGCACAGAGCACTCCAGCCAGTGAACAATAAGAAGCCCAAAAGCATTGATGACACTTGGGTTGATGACACTGACAATCATTTGTAATGCTGGAGTCTTGCACCAGTAATCATGGTAAATAAGAGAGACTGGGGCTAGTTGTCACATTTTTTACTTACTAAACTGTTTTCAACGTGGCTTGCTTTATCAAAAAAATATCAAACTATTGTTTTGGCCAAAACACACTGTATTAATAAATTATGTAAAAATTACCATAGCTTAACATACATATCAAAACACAACTCTTTAGCCCTTGTGACTTCCTGTTGTAACAACTAGCCAAGGTCTTCAATGCAATCAAAAATCTGCAATGATCTGAAAACACACTTAAAGTCTCTGATATTGCAATGTACTCGCATTTATGAAATTATAAAACAATGTCTGACCTGTGGCCATGTACAAGTGCTAAATCAAGTAACTTTTTGTTGCATACGTTTTTTTTGCTTTCCATGTAAACAGGGTTTTATTTCAAGGCTCCTGTGTTTTCATATATGATTTCATTGTTTTTACTGGGAACAAAATATGCTTGATTAGTGCTTAAAACAAGGCATAACTGATGAATGCAGGCCATCAAATTTACTAAAATTTCAATGTTGTATACACATCAGATTTGTCCATTTAAAAAAGTGAAATTTTACACTACTGGAGAATTGTTTTTGTATAACCTTTCAATAAAAATATGGAAATAATTACAAAATTTTTATTTTAGTCATCCTTTAACTTTCAGACATGGAATAAAAGCTAAAGATCATGGTACTCTGGGTACAGCCTGTGCCCTAGCATGAATACATATTTTTATGTGTACACATTTTGTGTGTTTGATAGTGTCCTTTGGCCATTTGTGTGTGTCTGTGTGTCCGTGTGTGTGTGTGTTTTCAGTCCCAAGCCTTTGCTGGCATATGTGTATTGACACCGTTTGCTTAATGATGAATTAACACCTGTGCAGCAGTATCAGCTGTGACAGGACCACTTGTAGTCAGATGCTCACTCAGCACACACACACACACACATACACACGCCTGAGCACCTATCAGCACCTCTAAAGACCCTTGGGTTGTAAGTAGCTTTTTGTTTATTCCATGTAACCTTGTTTGGCCTGTAACATTATCAGTTCTCAGGCACCTGACCCTATTTCATCTTATGGCTTATGTGCCATTATATTAATAATTCTAAAAAAGTGGATTACGAAATTAACTACAGTTATATAGACTTATATACTTACATATATAAATGTGTCTGATAGATAATTGCATAACTTACATAATATATTATAGACGTTTAAATTTTGAGCTTGACTGATTTTCAGTATAGCGATGTTTGTGTCTAAGTCATCAATTACAGCAGATAAATCATTTAGTTCAGGGTGCTGAACTATCATGCCTCTAAAAGTTTAATGTGACCAGCGCCAGTACATATAACTAACCTTTGGGATCAAACATATCTATTTACCTAAAAGGTCTTCTTTCAGGTAAGTCCAGGTTTTCAGAGTATGTTTATATACATTAATGTTTTGTATCATTAGATAAGCATGAAAACATGACTGGTAACATTTAGTGACACAACAAAGTTCATTACATGTATATTTTATAGATTTTAAAGGGGTCATATGATACGATTTCAAGTTTTCCTTTCTCTTTGGAGTGTTACAAGCTCTTGGTGCATAAAGAAGATCTGTAAAGTTGCAAAGACTAAAGTCTCAAATTCACGCGACTCTGTTGCCCTTTCAGGCTTGAACTGATGGTAAAACTAATGACATTATTAACTGTCTTGATATTTACTTTGAAAGCTGAAGCTCGCGATTATGGAATGGGGCGTTATATTTCCGACGCGTGCTTGTGGTGTTTGGCCAATCACAGTACACTGGGTCAGCTGGCCAATCAGAGCAGACTGCGCTTGTCAAAGGAGGGGGCTTTGTTGAAAGAGAGAGGCGGGGCATAGATTACCTACAATAATGTACAGTATTTGAAAAATAATGTGTTTTTTGAACATTAAAGCATGTCAACATATTCTGTTACACCAAATACACAGAATAATGATCTTTAAAATAGCATCATATGACCCCTTTTTAAAGAAAATTGCCACAAATTGAAAATTGATTAATTCAAAGCTTATTATGATACATGTAGTCACATGGATGTATATTCATGATTCATGAACTGAGTGTCGATCAATAAAACAAAACACTGAGTATGTGGCTTGTTCTCATTTGCTTAAGTTACCGTCTAATGCAGAGAACTTTCTCTCTTTCAATTACAACGATCAACATCACATTTACTCCTTTATATAAGACTTCCTCGTATTTTTTCTTACATTGTGAATGTGTAAACAGAGGACAAGAGGTGGGAAATAGCTAGGTGAAGACAAATGAAGGATGGATGGAGGAAGGGGGGGGGGGGGGGGTAGGGGGT